TGTTATAATTTATAAATATAATGCGTGATGACATGTAAAATAGTGTAGAAGTTTGATGCATCACTATTGTGGAAAGGTAGCGATCCCATCAAAGATTAGTTGGTAGAGTTTATACATTAGGAAGCATTGTTTTCGTAACATTTTCTGAAGCTGTGTCTTCTTCTTCCATCCATTCTCCTTATTAATTTGCAAATATTGAAAAAATTAATTTAGTTAGTCCTTTATAATAAATGAGTATTATCTTCTTTAAATATTTTTGTTAATCATGTGCGTTAAAATGATAATTTTAACATGTATAATTATAATTGGGACTATGAGATAAAATAAATAAATATAAAAATAAAATAGATTAATATCTTATACTCCTTTGGTCTTATCTATAGGACAGAGAGAGAAGACATTTTTTTCTATTTATAGGGCACCAAGAAAAAAATTTATAGGATGTATAATTTTATCCTCTATTTATTATTGTGTTGATTTTATTTACATGAGATATAATGTATATTAAATAAGGCTAAAATTAGAAAGTTGTTGAATTTTAAATAAAAGTGAATGAAAGTTAAGGTTTTTCTTGATCTGTGTGAAACATATTGGAAGTGACTTATAAATAGAACAGAAGAGTATTAGATGGGGGGAGGGGGGTAACAACACTTCTGTTTTTTCCTCTTTCTGACACTGTTATTATCTCACTAGGTTAAATTCAAATATTGTTGAACTCAAGAAAATAATTCTCCCAAAACATTTCTTGCATTTATTTAAGACCTCGTGTTTAAATGGTCAATATTCCTTTCCTATAACCAATACTTGTTGGTAATATGTTGTGTCTTCTCTATTAATGAAATTAAAAGATTTAAACTCAGTTCACATTTTTTCAATTAATTATAATTATAATTATAATATATAACTCTTTAGTTTTCAACAAGTCATACGCTCATCCATTCATTCTAAAACTGAACTCACTCTCTCTCTCCTCTGTCTCCTCCACAACAGCCTCCCTTAATTTCTCCACTCAACCCATAAATATCACCTGCACCATCTCATCTTCTCCTCCCAATTTCACACTTCTCATCTCAACTCAAAATCTCAAATCGTATCGTGACATATCAGTTCAATCCTCTTCTCCAGTCCTTTCTACACAGTATACATAACTTCTTCACTCATTGCCGCATCAACCATGTCGCCTCTCCGGATCCTCATTCTTGCGCTCTTCATCATTGCAGTTTCCGGCGAGGATGCAGCCACTCCGGCGTCTGCCCCGGAGGCCGACGGTCCTGCCATGCAAATGCAATCTCTTGAAATAACATCCACTACCACTGAATCACCTTCTTCTGCTCCAATATCATCCTCCCCATCTGAGTCTCCATCAGATTCTCCCGCCTATTCCCCTGCAGAAGGACCGGCCTCCTCCGGCGAAGCCAAAGCTCCGGGAATGGATGATTCCGACGCGGCTGCTCCCAGTCCCCTAGGAGACTATGACGACGACGACGACGACGAAACCTACTAAATGCAAACGGTCTCTCCTTGAAAGCTTTAGATCAGTAGACCGGTTTTACCGTTCGTACATGGAGGATAAAAGATTCATGAATGAATGCTTGGAGAAAAGTTAGAGTTTTTGACGTGGTGGTTATAATTGCTTTTGGAAAATTATCAGGGTGAGATATTAAAGGATCGGTTTGCCTAGGGTCGTAGGTTTATGGATCAGAAAATATGTAGGGTTAGGTTTTGTTTTTTTTTTTTTTTGGTTTCAGAAGATGATTTTGGAGAAGTTGATTCTGGAATTACAGAGATGATGAGAGAGCCATTTTAATTAAGGTTGTAACATTGCATGCTGCGTATTACTTATGAACAAGAATAATAATGCGGCATCATGTGATCCAACTTCAGATTTGACTTAAACCAAGAATCCGATCAGACCTTAATTGTGCAATATAAGTGACCACAGGTTTTCTCAATCCTGGCCTCCATTATTTGTGCAAGCTGAGAGGGATTTTTGTTTTGTTTGCTTATCCACTGACTACAAAGTGCATTTTAGTAGAGAGAGGAAATAGTATAAACATAGGAATAATGAACATCATTTTCCATTTTTATGTGTTTACTCTCTCTATACCTTAAATAAAAGGAGAATTATATTGAATAACTAAATTAATAAATCGACCATTAAGATTGTCCTCAAATTTCCCGATTGTATAATGTAAATTTATCACATTGAACTATGATTATTTATTTTTTTTATTTATTAGAATCCTTGGAGCTCACCAAGAGGAATCTTTTATTCAAGTCGCTTATATCTTGATATCAAGTTTTTCAACATGTGTCCTATTTTTTCATATAGATTTATAATTAAATAATAATATTTTAAAAATGAGACTCATGACTATGTGTGATTGGAAAATTTGACATGATGAATATAAAAAATTTAATGTAAGTATTGCCTTTTTAAACATTGTTTCGAATTATTAAGATTACCCAATCTCATATGTACCCCGGAGCACGTGACTTGTTCGCTAAATTCATGCGACAAAAATGTTGAAATTTCATTTTTTTTTTTTTTTGCCTATTAGATAACGAGGAAATATTTTCATAATTTTTTTAATATGTATCAATTTGCAGTCAAAATAGTATTTTTGGTGGTCAAAAAAAGTCCAAGCCAAAAAAGCTAATCCAATCTTATATTGGATTTTGAAATATTAAGCCCATCTGAGCCCATTATTAGCCTTGGTCCAAACCTTGTCACGGGTTCGGCCCAATCTATTGTGACATGACAGAACAGAAATGGACTAGCAAGACACGAATGTACACTGTACAGTGCACTGTTAGCTGGGGGGTCAGGAGTTTCTCCCCCCCCCGCCAAAAAAATTGTATACTATGTTATACTCCCTCCGTTCCTTATTATAAGAGACAAATAACCGAAGTACGTTGATCAAAAAAATAGTTAAAATTAGTTAAGAACAATTAATGTGTGAAAAGTATAATTGTTTTTCCAAAAATGCCCTCATTAATAAGGAGAGAGAGCATGAGAGAGAACAATTAAATTATTAAAAGAAAGAGAAGTGGGAAGGAGAGAGAGTGTGAGTTGGAGATAATAAATATGGCTAAAATAGGAAATCAACACAAAAAGTAGAGACAACTTTTAAGTGTCTCTTATATTAGGAACATGCCATAAGCATCAAATGTCTCTTATAATAAGGAACGGAGGGAGTATTTGGTATGGTTCACTAATTCAAAATACTTATAGCTAACCATTTTTTTTAAGTGAAAAAACTATTCCGATAAAAAAAATAGTTGACTATTTAAAAAAATAAGAAAAAAACTTAAATTAGTTATTTGTAATAAATATATGTTGTCTTTTCTAAAACATCCTTACTAATCAAGTGTATTAGTTAGAACTATTATTATTAGAAGGACTATCTTGAAAAAAAACATAAATATGAAAGGCAAAGTGGATTAGAGTCTTATATTTAGAACCAAAATAAAAGTCAAACAAGGTCTTATATTAAGGATCGGAGGTAGTATTTGTCAACCGTTAGTTACTTTAGCAGCAACACAACCCCTCATATTTGGATGAGATTTTAGGTTTGAAACTAGCATTAGCATGTTCACGTGTATACATGCATTTTATTGTATTATTACCACTAACCCTTAATATAAAACTTATTTAATTAATTTGAAAAGAATTAAGAAAATTATTAAATTACTCTTCCAGTTCTAAATATAAGACCATTATACACACTAATATAAGGGTTTTATATTTAGGACTGGAGGAGTACTTTAAAGCATTTATATTTATTACTTTTTTTAAAACTAATTTAACTTACTTAAAGTGATAATAATCTAATGGTACATATAAATATTTTATAAAGACCATTAATATATGTTATAATTAAGAAATTTAATAATTTTTTAAATCTTTTTAAATTAGCAACTTTGTTTTATATTAAGTGTCGTGTGTGTATACTCCCTCTGTTCCTTATTATAAGAGACGAATAATCGAATTACGTTGATAAAAAAAACAGTTAAAATTAGTTAAGAACAATCAATGTGTAAAAAGTATAATTTTTTTTCCAAAAAGGCCCTCATTAATAAGGAGAGAGAACATGAGAGAGAACAATGGTAAATTATTCAAAGAAAGAGAAGTGGGAAGAAGAGAGAGTGTGAGTAGGAGACAATAAATATGAATAAAATAGAAAATCAACATAAAAAAATAAAGACAACTTTTAAGTGTCTCTTATATATAGGAACATACTATAAACATCAAATTTCTCTTATAATAAGAAAATAAGGAACGGAAGGAGTATAAAAGGAACATTAAAATTCTTTCACTAAACAGAGTCTTAATTGGTAAGAGGCCGTATGATGTGTGGAGAATAAAGTTGATTTTTTTTTTCCGCCATATTCCGGCGAACATTCGGCTCATTAGTCATTCCTAAGAAAAGGAGCTTTTGTTGATTCCTGCTGGCGTTCCTCGTTTAACACACGCAAGGCATCTCCAACACCTTTTCTCCTTGGTGAATAGGCATCTTACCGCACCTTTCTTGGCTGGCTGCCATTTCCAGCTGCCCATTTTGTCGCAAATCTGAAGTATCCAAAATTAATTTAAGTGTTTGAAATTTAAATTTTTCAATTTATTATTTTTAAATCGTAAGTTATGCTTTTCATGTGCATTGAAAATTCAAGGATTATTTTTATTTTAAATTATATATTTATTAACTTCAAACTTATCATGCGATGCTAATAATTTTCAAATTTTGCAACTTGATGGCATGAATTTCCTTGCAAGTAAAAGGTTGTAGGTCCCTCTAATTCAAAATTATCACTTATGAAAAAGTATGATTCGGGGTTTCCACTTATGTCAGGATGTCCTCGCTACTTAACATCAAAATTACAGTTATACCCTCTTGAGTGGGATTCTTCCATGTCGATGGCTTTATATATATACAGAGGGAAGGCAGGGATTTCCGTCAGGGCGCAGAAGAGAAAGTTGGAAATAGGCAGCAGGGGAATGGGAGATTGAAGGAGCCACAAGTTGTGGGAATGGGCGGTTTGGGAAGTGAGAAAGTGAGATGGAAAATGTTTCTTTCTCTGTATGTTTGCTTAATTTTCCTTCCCAAAGCCGCCCATTCCGGTGATTTCTGGTTCTTCCTCCCTTTCCCTTCCCTGCTAACTCTGCTATGCTATATTCCTCGTCAACTTCGCTAATCCCCTTCATTCCACTGGTAATATAATCATACTCCTTCATTTAATTAGTTTCTAGGTTTTATTCCGTGGGATTAATTTCGCTGTTTGGCTTTTTGTTCTCTCAATTTCAGTTCAAAATTGAATTGTGAGAAGCAGGCAAAAGTTTCAATGTTTTGGCTTCCACAATTCCGTACTGAATAATTGTCAAATCTAGAATGACTCTTTGCAGGTATTAAACTTGTGGTTCAAGGCCAGATGCAGCAAAAATATAAGTGATGTGTGAGATAAATTTTGGGATCATTATATTGTCTTTCTTTTTTGTTCATATTAGCCTTTACAACACAGGGCCGATCGATATGGTAATAACTTGACAACAGATCCAGATCTAATGCCTCAAGCCTACAATACTTACGGGATAATAGTTTGGCCGTTGCTCTTTTAAATAAAAAGTAGCGCAGATCAGTGTTCTGTCATGTATTTATCCATCTTAAGGAGATTCCCGCAGCAACAATTTATATGGCGAAAGAAAGAAGCAAGCCCTCCTTTATTCATCATTCGTTGAGTTAAGTAAAGAGATAAAAGATAATGAATGTCATTAATTACTAACAAAAAGATACAACAAATCCTCCAGGATTGACTAAATCCTTTCTTAAAAGAAGATAACCAACAGCCCAAAACTTTTGGAACTAAAGAGAGAGACTCAAGTTATCCTCCCTCTTTTTTTTTTTTGGAGGATTCCACATCCCAAACGCTAAACATACAAACCAAAAACTTTTATATAGAGCCTATCTTAACTACTAATACTCCTCTCATTCCTTAATGTTATGTTTGATACGGGTTTTTTGAAGAGGAGGAGAGGGGAGTTGCTCACCTTTCCTTATTTGGCTGGTACATTTTTTAAGGAAGGAAGGAGAGTTGTTCCTCTCCTCTTGTTTGGTTGAGTTATTTTTTAAAGAAGGGAGGACTTCTCCTATCTTTCTATTTCCTTCTAGCCTTCCCTTTAAAAATAAGATTTTTTAAAAGAGAAATGAGAGATAAAATTTTATATTCTCAAATTAACGTGAGTAAAATATTTTAACTCTTCTCTTACTTTTTAGAGTTTTCAACCCTCTTATTTTTCTACACCTTAGCCTGAGTCTATCAATTGTCGTCTTCTTCTAAGCTAGCTTTAGGTGCGTACTCTTTGACTTTTCTATTCATGTATATGAGCTGTGGTAGGGGGAAAAAAAAAGGCTAAAAGCAATATAAAGCAGTACAATCATACTCGATCAGAACATGTTTGGTGGGAATCTTGGATTTATAAAAGCAAAAGTGATAAAGACGATGAGTTTTGGTATTTTTCATTTCTTTCAAGAATTTCCCGCAAATTCCATTGTTAAAAAAACTCCATCTTTTCTCTTATTTCTATTTCTATCTGGTGGTTTTCTGCATAATTTTCGAAGTAAGCAACTGAAAGGCTACAACACCCAAAAATATTATTACTCTCTTTCTGGTTTTTGCTCTTAGATTCATGGGTTATTTTCAATTATTTGTTGTTTTGCTTTTATCAATTTCTATTGAACTTAATGTTCCCCAAGTCCAGGCCACTTGTTTTATGGCTTAATGCTCCTCTATTGCTTACGATTCCGCTAAAGAGATTGGCCCCTTTTGAATTAGTTCTGATGGGAAATCACTTCACATGAATCCATATGCTTAGAACAGTTGTAAGAGTGAATTCCTGCTTAATTATGGGTATACTTTTCGATAAAAATTATGTGCAAAATTTTTTGTAATATTAATTATGGGTATAGTTTCACAAAATATTTTCTTGGATGCTTAGACGCAAGATGGCTTTAAGTCCTAAGCCTTTGCATAGTCCTATTTAGCATTTAGAAGAATAGAAGTTTTGCTTGACATCTTTATATTAACTTAGATATAGTTTTTAATTTGTTTGCCCTTCAATTTGACTAATATATGTGATACTATCACTAGTGTAGCAGTGAGATACCCTTGATCACATATAGATTTTGTTAAATTATAATTTATTAGGTAGTTCTCATTCCCACTCCTATTACTTTTATTGCACATATATGCTATTATTGATATTAAATTGGACGTACCATAATATAAGAATTAGCAAAAAAAATTTATTTGTGTTTATCCAACTAATTAACATTACAATATCTATGATTTGATTAGAAGCATTTTTTTCTTTATTTTTTTCTAGATGGAATTGGTAAGACATCGATATATATTGATTTGCCAAATGCTTATTCAATATTTTATGTTAGTTCGTCGATACTTAGAATTGTGTCGAAGAGCTATAGTTCAAGTCATTTGTGCTATTGTGTGGTACTATGTGACTCATATGTGAAATAAGAAAAAAAAAATTATAATATGAGTTCCAAAAGAGAAAGAGCATGTGAAAAAGTAATAGCTTGAATAACTAATGATAGACATAGTCGAGACATGATTAAGATGGGTCCTGAAATTTTTTAAAATTATGTAGTATGTTAGAGAGAGAGGGCGGCTTACAAGCCACACAATATGCAAATGTGAAAGAACAAGTTGCTAAGACTCTTCATATATTGGCACACAAAGCAAGAAATTGTATAG